CGGCTGGTGCAGCACTGAGGTCAAGCCTTCACGTCGTCCGAGGCCAGTCATGATACGGGCGACGAATTTTAAGATGTTCTGATCGGGCTATTATACAAAGACAAGTCTGCGCGCGTCATACGGATTACAATGTAGCTCCGTGCACATACCCAACGTTTGTCACTATGTCCGATGTGAATGTAGTGTGTATCTTAACTTGTCGAGTTTGTCGAAGAAATCTTATGTCAGCTCTTGTACCGTTTTTATAGGCTTATGTCGGGTACCTTCGTGATGACTGCATATGTTAGTGTTTTTTTTACGATTGATGTGGATACCATGCAATATGTGACATGAAGCCCCGATTGCAATATCTATCTAGATATATACTTTGTATATACATGCACGCATACACACACATATATACACATATATGTATATATGTATAACTTCTAGACTACTTAATTAATATATATATATATATATATATATATATATATATATATATCGCAATCGGCCGTACGTGCTCCTGGAGCTACCCGGAGCGTGCCTCAGGTAACGGAGCTGAAAACGTGGCAAAAATGGCATTCAGTGGTAGACGATTCTAAGGCCGGAACGTATTGCGCCTCTCACGCACTTGAGGTGACTTTAAACAAAATGTTTGTGTTGCTAAAACTCGTTCCGACAACCGCTTTCTCACCACAAGAAGCCACCGAGCGAACCAGTGCTAGGAATCGCTAGGAATTAGGAAATAGGAATTTCTCATCACAATAAGCGACGGAGCGAACCGGTATTTAGAATCGCTCACCACAATAAGCGACCGAGAAAACCAGTGTTAAGAATCGCCAACGGTAGTCTGCAATGCTCAGGCTCCTGCAGAAACCCAGCCTGGATGCCAACGTAACTTGTATGGGGCTGGGTTCATCGAGGCACATCTGACGCATTATAATGAACAAATGGCGTGTGATGTTCCAATGTGCTCAAACCCTACGAATGTTTTTGTGTATCAGATATTCAACTCTATTTGTCAAAAATCATACTGGGCTGAAAACATGACATAGTACGTATATACGGTACGTGTATACGTTATTATATGACGATGGTACGTTATTCAGACACCGTTCTTTGAAAGCTCAAATGATGTCTGTAGCTGCAAGTGACCCTTGACACAACCGAGACAACGGCTAAGGAAACGTTTGTGTTCAAAATGGGGGTACCGATACATTTCAAATGTTCGGAGCTCCAAACATTTCCATAGGCCAAGTTTGAGATTGGATGGACGTAGGCACACATTTTTCGAAGTTTTTAGGCTGCCAATGCCATTCTGTCAAGTCACAAATTGGCACACATCCGAGCTTATGTAATGCAGATAAACATTTCTTACCCACGATCGTTTTCTCTCTGTTTATTTAACTTGAATAATGGAACGCATTGGCGCGAGTGGTGATTGGGGTGCTTGGTGGTAGGTAGTAGTAAGTTGATATCTTTAAAAAGTTTTGAACTGACGGCCGACTCTTAGTTGGACTTATGATTAGACTTCCTGCAAAAACTTCCAGAAAACGCCTCTGCTAGTTCGAAACGGTAACATGAGAGAATAATGAGAGAAGATAGGCGATCGTGACGCAGACGCAGACACCAAGATATTGTTCGGCACTACACGGGTGCGCTGCGGCACAGCATGCCTTACGGCTCTGAAGCTGCGGAACACTGAGCTGCCTGCCGTGGAGTAGGCTGAAGGGAGTGTGCCACCTTTCAATCACATTTTGAGACGTGCCCTGGTGAAACTCCTGACCAGTTATGTCTACCAATGGCAGTACGAAGTGATGCTACAGCATCAGCAAGATATAAGAAGCAAATGAGTTTGTTCTAGTCTAAATAGCGCGGTCAACGTTTTGGCACTTTACTCACCTTTTTCGTTCTGTGATCACCTGAGTGCATTACGGAAATTGGCAATCTTAGCACATATAAGACATTCAAGTGGGACGTTCATCACAGCCTTCGCAGCTTTTCTGCAGGCACCAAACAATCCGCGCCTGGTATACCTGGGGTGTAATTGCTGTAATGTTAACCACCATTTTTTTTTAATTTGAAATTTGCTTCTTTTTTAAACTTCTGTTTGGATAAATTTATTGGATCGGCGTCCACACCAAGCAGTGCTTGTTGTGTGAGATCTGACCCCTGCCGTCCTATCCTAAACAGACACGAGCCCACTCCGCCATGGACGTATGGAGGCAGGCGCTGCAGCCAGCTGAGCTACATCGAAACATTGAAATGTTGGCAATTTCCGTTTGGGGGTATGAATGCTGTGCATAGTAATGCAAGTTTGGGGTTGGCACAGCGGACGGTGTTAGCGAGTATTTATTTAGCGAGAACTGCAGTTATCGAAGCTTGAATATTTGTGTCACTAGACCACTTTGTAAACACAGCCATGCAGTGGGTTGGGCGTCTAAGAGAAAAAACTATTTCCAAATCCAAGGTGGCAATCCCAAAGCTAAGGTGCCGACCCAAAGCCAAGGTGCCAGCCCCAAAACTAAGGTGCCGAATCCAAAGCCAAGGTGCCAGACCCAAAGCCATGGTAAAATGTCAAACCGATAGCGTTCAGCACTTTTTTGTAAGAGAAAAGGCTGGATAGCAAAAAGACTAATTCTTGTCTTAATTTTTTCATATTCACACACCGTTTCCCTTAGAAGGGTGTTTATTGAAATTTGAGGCATTCCGAGCCTTTTTTGGAATGCTGGTACTGCCAATAAAATCGGATGCGTCTGATCTATGAGTGGAAAGTACCGACAAGCGGCATGGTCCCTTAAAGCAATGTATTTGGCACTGGTGAACGAGGGTGACACGGTAATAAAGCTTTGGAACAAAAAGTTTTGAAGTTGCGCATGCGTATATGGCATGATTATATGTGTCCTAATCACGGGTGTAGATTCACAAACGGCTAACCAGCCTCTCTTAAAGCGCTTAAAACTGGTTTCTCTTCGAATGGACCACCATCTTCACAAAGCTGGGGGAAGCGGGCTAGAGTCTGCCAAGCTGAACATAAAACTTGACATCTGGTGCTGACGCTCTGGATAACTTGGCCTAACATTTTCAGCAGGCTGATGTAAGCAATGGCGATTGCTCGTTGCATCATTACATGTGTTTTAGATGACATTATGCCATGCATAGGAAATGGATCCACCGAAAAAGTTTTCTAAGTCATGTTTTGAGACGGAAATGATGGATCGAGACCGTGGCTCCCAATCGCCAGCAGAAACAGAACAGCGGAAATATTATGACTTATACTGTTTTGTTAAGCTTAACTAGTCGCAACGTTGACAACAATAGCCTTTGCAATGCAATAGCAACGCCTTTGAATTCACCATTGCTGCTGGAATGTTTAGAAGGACTGCTTTCCTTTCACAGAGTTCAGTGATGAAGACAGAACTTTGCAGAAAGCTTGCAGTGTAACAATTGAGCGGTAACAACCATGCATGTGTTATATGATCGGAGACATTCGATTAAGACGCGATATTTTTGGTGGGTCTAATCACTACGATGGACAGCAACATAAGTCCCTGTGCTTAGGGATGTACTACCTTTAAGTTCTGTGTGCGCGCTAGTTTCCCAGGCTGTGGTCACTTCATGTCGCGGTTTATTACTTCAAAGGTTTTTTAGGAGAGCAGCTGGTAAATGACAGTGACCTGTATTACTCCTGCAAATTAAGGTTCTTTCACCACCTGACACAGAAGTAATCACTCGTCGGACACAACACAATTTTATTATGTCCAGCAAAGCAATGGCTGTCTGCAGCCACCTCGCCGAACTACAGCCACGCTCCGGCACCGCAGATCGGGTCCAACACTGCAACCCACCTCGACAACGGACACAATCTGGGCCAAAAACCGACTGACAGCTCCGCCACCGCACAACAGCTATACTACGTAGTTGTAGCCCGGAGGTGGCCCTACAGCGATAATCCGGCCCCAAGGACTTGCTCCAGCCGTCCTACAGCCTGCTCAAGCCGCATGGCTCGCTCCCTTCCAATACTTCCCAGCCCAAGACCGGTACTCCAGCCCCAAACTCATCATTTAGCTTAACAGCCACCTTGCAGTTCCACAGTAACCCTCTAGCCCCTCAGCCACTCCACAGTCCGATACATACACTCTAGTCCCACAGCCACTCTCCAACCTCGCATGCACTTTGCACCTCACAATCACGCTCCATTTCCACAACCACCCTCCAATGCCACAGCCACCCTCCAATCCTACAGCCGCCCTTTAACCCCACGGCCATCTTCCCGCCCCAAAGACAGCCCCTAGCCCCACACCCATTTTCCTGTTCCACGGCCACTCTCTAATCCCACAGCTACCCTCCAATCCCATGACCATCTTCCCGCCCCACAGGCAACCTCCAGCTCCACAGCTGGCCTCCTGCCCCACAGGCAACCTCCAGCTCCACAGCTGGCCTCCTGCCCCACAGGCAACCTTCAGCTCCACAGCTGGCCTCCTGCCCCACAGGCAACCTCCAGCTCCACAGCTGGCCTCCTGCCCCACAGGCAACCTCCAGCTCCACAGCTGGCCTCCTGCCCCACAGGCAACCTCCAGCTCCACAGCTGGCCTCCTGCCCCACAGGCAACCTCCAGCTCCACAGCTGGCCTCCCGCCCCACAGGCAACCTCCAGCTCCACAGCTGGCCTCCTGCCCCACAGGCAACCTCCAGCTCCACAGCTGGCCTCCTGCCCCGCAGTTAGCCTTCAGCTCCACAGCTAGCCTCCAGTCCCTCAGCTAGCCTCCAGCCCCACAGCTAGCCTGCATCCCCACAGATAGCCTCCAGTCCCACAGCTAGCCTCAGGCCTCACAGCTAGCCTCCAGTCCCACAGCTACGCTCCAGCCTCAAGGCGGCGCCCGGGCGGCGGCCGCCGCAGCCATGTGAGGCTGGCCGACGCCGGGGGCGCGCCGGGCCCGCTTCGCACTGGCGCCGTGCCACGTCTGGCCCGATGACCGTCGTCGGCGCCGGCGGGCTCGGGTGTCAGTGGTGCGCGAGGTGCCGCGCCGCTCTGGTCGGGCGCGATGGGCCACGGGACGCTACTGCTGCTGCTGCTGCTGGCCGCCGCTGGCTCGGCGCGCAAAAAGGAGGAGGCCGTCATTGAGGAGGTCGGCGCCAAGCAGCTGGAGCAGTTGGTGGAGGACCACGACTACGTCGCCGTCTACTGGTGTAAGTACCGACCGAGCGGGGGGCGCAATTTCGTGACAGTCCGCTGGTGGGTTTTGACTCGAGAGAGATTTATAACATGCAAGTAGAACGGCATTGATGGAACTGGCTACACAGGCACTGGTTGAGGAGTTTTGAGGCAATTTCGGTAAGCTGGGTCAAACTGCTGAAACGTTTTTCTTCCTGTTATGTATGCGCTGGTCATGAAGATAACACAACCGTACAATGTGATTGCTAAAGTACTCTGTTTTCGTTAAATGCCGTTCATCTCATCCGAATGCAGGTGATTCGACGAGATCTTTGTGCTCAATCTCTACCTTATAAAGCTCTTCAAAGCATCAGTTTCGCTCTAAGTTGCTGGATATAGCTACCAACTCTGGAAAGCCTAATTCAGTAGCTTATCTTCTTGGCTTACGAAATTTTAAATAATCAGTTGTCTCCCTTCTGAGTGAGAAACACCGAAAAAATGCCTAAAAAATAAACAGATTTTATCGCGCAGGTCTCACAACGCAGTTGGGAGGTGACATGTTTACAAGGAATCACAGAGCATACTGCGGCGGTACATACCGCTATATACTCTGCTATAACGCAGCCCTTTCGGTCTATGGCTAATGCTTTGGAAAATGCGATCAGGACAGCCTTATTAAACAGCATGTCCGGCCCCAGTATACCGTGAGAGCCAGGCCATGCGCTGCCCACCTTCATGGAGGAATAAGATCGCACGGCAGGTACCGCCGCATCGCATCAACGTCAACACATGTCTTCCTGTGCTGATTGGCTCGGTTTAAGTGGTTGCTGGCCGACTTTTCTTTTCCCGGAAGAGCCTCAAATCTATGTGTCACTTCGCAGCCAGGTTGTTTGCTTTGCTGACAGGCTGCCCATCGCTGAACATTCAGGTAACTGGGATAGGCCGACCGGTTGGAGCGGCTGTCGACTCTGCGTTGGTCTGGTCTGGAATTAGCTGACCAGTCGGAGCGGCTGTTGACTTTGCGTTGGTCTGGTCTGGAATTATTCGACCGGTTGGAGCGGCTGTCGACTCTGCGTTGGTCCGGTCTGGAATTAGCTGACCAGTCGGAGCGGCTGTCGACTCTGCGCTGGCCTGGTCTGGAGTTAGCTGACCAGTCGGAGCGGCTGTCGACTCTGCGTTGGTCTGGTCTGGTCTGGAGTTAGCTGACCAGTCGGAGCGGCTGTCGACTCTGCGTTGGCCTGGTCTGGAGTTAGCTGACCAATCGGAGCGGCTGTCGACTCTGCGTTGGTCTGGTCTGGAGTTAGCTGACCAGTCGGAGCGGCTGTTGACTTTGCGTTGGTCTGGTCTGGAATTATTCGACCGGTTGGAGCGGCTGTCGACTCTGCGTTGGTCCGGTCTGGAATTAGCTGACCAGTCGGAGCGGCTGTCGACTTTGCGTTGGCCTGGTCTGGAGTTAGCTGACCAGTCGGAGCGGCTGTCGACTCTGCGTTGTCCTGGTCTGGAGTTAGCTGACCAGTCGGAGCGGCTGTCGACTTTGCGTTGGTCTGGTCTGCCCGTTGGGCCGCAGACTGAAGGCGGCGGACCGCGGCTGCGGCGAGGAGCAGAGCTACCGCTGCCAACGACCATACATGCGGTACCTGCAGACAAGCAGAGCGGTACAGCCAGAGGGACAAACCTAGAATCGGTTCCGAACTTTACGGTAGCCTTAAACGGTAGCCTTTATCCCTCGGTGTTACCGCCGCTGTGGCCGATGTTAGACCTGGAAGTGAGGCCCGAGTGAATGGAAGACACCCGAAGTCTGCATAACCAGCAACTGACTTAGCATTGCCCAATTCGAGTACAGCGCTCAGTTGGCCGCACGTCCAGCATGCCGCCGCCGGAGATAAAGAAATCCCGGACTCAGACCCAAAGTCAGCAAACACTGTCCATTGCTATGCCGAGCTCCGGTCATGTTGAGGTCTGCGCGTACTGCCCGCCCTGGACGAGTGCCTGGCGCCGCCACTGGTGCCGTCCCGATTGAGAGGCGGTCTGCTGTGCTCCGGCCCTGGCGCCGTGCGTCAGAGGCCGCCACCCCTCCGCCGGCCAAGCGCAACAAACCACCCGGCTCTCGCAGCAGGGCCTGGCTGCTCCGGTAGTCGTCAGTGAGGATCTGTTTGTTGACGTGTGATAGTGAGCGAGAGACAATCGTGTCGAAATGGCGAGGGTGTGATGGTCATTTGTTAACTGCGTAGATGTAATCAAACAGCCAAGAGCTAAAGACTGAATAAATGTTTGAGACAATTATCTAACATTAACGTGTGCTGGTCGTTAGGTGTTTACATTTGTGGTGCAAGTCTGTCGTTAGGTGTTTACATAGGAGCGAGACATCTGTCTGCAAGGAGTCGGTCATTTGTAGGTAAAAGCAGACTCGTGCGCTACACCGTCCCTGCAAAGGGACGACGAGTGTCCTTATCCATGTTCAAACGCCGTGCCGTGGCATAAAAACAATTTTTTGAGTTCACGGTCCGTAGAAGCAGATGTTTCAAGGAACCGCTGACTATCCACCAATTTTGATTTGGTTTGACGAGTTTAACGTGATAATGGTTTTGACGCTTGGAAGATTATTCGCAAACTGGTGACTATCGCCAGCAACTTAGGGTGTGGGAGAAGGCCGGCTTCCGCCACATACTCTGGTAGTTACGTGTTCAGGGCAGTCCTCCTTCATATGCTGTTTACTAGTTATCACCGCGCAATTGTCGACTAGCTCTGGTGAGTGAGGCATGGCCACACAGTGTACATCTTTGTGTTGAGCCTTTGAGCTACAGCGCCGCACCATATCGCGTCGTCGCAGCACCATGCGCCGCACCATGTCGCATCGTCGCAGCACCATGCGCCGCAACATAACATGAACCATAACGAACCCACCATGGCCCCGTGCTCAGCCGACTTGTCACATACTTGTAGAATGTAACGGCTTAAGTGTGAAGCGTGTCGGGGGAGTCCGATAGCCTGCCAAAGACTGCCAAATGCAGGTCATATCTCCACATTTTATGCAGCCCCAACATTCCACAAGCTAGGCGCTTCCCGCCGTTGCGAGCTGGGACGACCGGCGACCCCAGGTCACGCCGCCACCTCGTGATCGAGCCATGCTCGCCGTCCTGAGTCGCCTCAGCTGGCCAGCAGAGTTATCGCCGCTAAGTCCATGTCCTGCTCTTGGCAGCCGGCACGATAGGCGCCGGGAACGTGACGTCAGAGCTTGCGCTGCCAACGAGTCGGTATAATCGGAGCTGGCGACGCCCGAGACGCCAGCTCGTCACCAGTCATCAGAGGCGTGGTCTCGCCAGATTAGCCTCAGGAGGGAGAGGGAGGGGGAGGACAATGGGGCCCCATACACATGTCTACAACACTAGTGCCAAACTGAAATTATTTGACCTATGTGAATTACGAGGCTGACGGGAGGAGGGGATTAGCATGAAAAAAGTTTTGTTTTGGAAGGCGGGGCAGGGTTGCAGATGGAGCTGAGATCTGTGTATCCCTCCCCCCCCCCCCCCCCCCCTGTACAACAGAATGCTCCCTGTCGGTGAAAATGACGTCCAATTCGCACGGGTTGTTAAGCCAGTGTCGACTGACAATATAGTAGCGCAAGTATCGACTGAGATCGAGGGTCTCGAGAGTCAGCACCGAATGGCTTGAGGGTGAAAGGCTGACGGGCCACCACCTCAGGGGCTAAGGATGCGGGCCTCGCGGGTCACCGCCGCAAAGGCTGAAGGTAAGAGGCTGAAGAGTCCCCGGGGGCACTGTTTTTCCCGCTGGGTTGCCAGCAGTCCCACGGAGAGGAGACCGGAGCCAAAACACTGACGCTGGCAAACGGCGTGTCAGAAGAGTTGCCTGACACTACGCGCTTAATTCAATGGGCTAGCAGCCAGCCCTTGACCTTGTGACCGCGGCAGACACGCCAAGTTCGTGCACGTCAGTTGGCCTTGTGTCCTGTTCGTCCGCCACTCGTCAGTTGGCCTTGTGTCCTGTTCGTCTGCCACTCGTCAGTTGGCCTTGTGTCCTGTTCGTCCGCCACTCGTCAGTTGGCCTTGTGTCCTGTTCGTCCGCCACTCGTCAGTTGGCCTTGTGTCCTGTTCGTCCGCCACTCGTCGGTTGGCCTTGCGTCCTGTTCGTCCGCCACTCGTCGGTTGGCCTTGTGTCCTGTTCGTCCGCCACTCGTCGGTTGGCCTTGTGTCCTGTTCGTCCGCCACTCGTCAGTTGGCCTTGTGTCCTGTTCGTCCGCCACTCGTCGGTTGGCCTTGTGTCCTGTTCGTCCGCCACTCGTCGGTTGGCAGGAAATGTCTTGTGAAAAGAGGTGCGTCGTTCACAGCGCACCTTAAGGGTTGCTAGAATTCAGGATCAAAGATCTGATTGTCTCTGTGACGTTCTTACCCTTTCTTCTTGCTCAGGGGAGTGGCTCCTATGTTGTTCTTTTCTCTCTCCCGCCGTGAGAGGTCCAGGCCACCAAAAACCTTTTAAAATGGCTGTAAGAATTTTCGGTTTTTATGTCCGATGCTTCCCAAGGAAAGCACTTGACGAAATTTCTCATGAATAAAGAAATTCAGGAACAGTGCTAAGATTCAAAAAGGATATATATATATATATATATATATATATATATAACCTAAAAGGATATAGACCAGCAGAAATATTTCCAAAGATTGCAATGCTTCGTTCAGTTGACCTCGCCCTAACATCCCGACTAAACATGCTGCATTTGAGTGCGACTCTTAGTGTTACCATATTTGAAAGCGCCACTTTCTTCTCATGGGTGTCCCGAAGACAGAGCTTGGTTGAATCGTCAAAGCGTGGCGTAAAGGGCAAATGTCTGGCAATCAAAAGGATTGCTTAAGTCAGGAGAGGCTTCCAAACCTTTGCGCGTTGATGTACCTTCCTTTTATTTCTCAGAAATGTTGGGCGTTCTTTCGTGACGCTTATGTCGTGACGCTCTTCTCACCCGATGTGATTGTTTGGCCGCATCGATTAAGTCTTCGTGCTATCAGAAGCCTCACGATAAAAT